TAAAAAAATAAATAAATTGGTTTGAGCCTTGCTTGTAAGTTAAAAGAGGAGCACATGGACAGAGTGCTGTCAAGGTGGGATCTGAAAAATGCCATCTGCAGACTTCAGAGCTGAAAGGTCTTTTTATTTCTGTGTTGACATACTGTCTCAATTTATTATCAGTCATTTTGTAGCACAAATTGCTGTAGTATTTGAGTGCTAAGTGAAATTAAAAACCAGTTCCTTGTCAGTTAGCGGAGAAGAGCAAAAAGTTTAATTCTTATTGAAGGACTGGTGTAAAGGAGACCAGTGCCCCAGTGAATTCCTAGCTTGGTACAAGTTTTGTTTAAAGTCGGAATAGAAGGGTGCTATAATACGTCCCTATTCCTTCGAACTTTTGCACTTTCCATTGAAGTTGTAGGATTCTGCCCATGCAAAGCAGTGGTATTTGGTAATGACAATTAAACACCGCAGGACAGGTATTTTTACATGAACATGAGCTTAAGGGTCAATAGTTACAAACTAAAGCAGGAAGTGGAAGCATAGTTTGTATGAGTGAATGCAAGTCAATTGGATTAAAAAACATAAGCAGGGTAGTGTTGCACAGTTTGGAATCTGAGATGTGTCTTATTTCAGTGCAAATAAATTTCTCTGATAGTAATGAAATCTTTGGTAAGATTTGAAATCTCAGACTTATGTCTGTCAGCTCTTAAGTCTGGAGTTGCATACACCTGGAGACAAGAATTGTTTCTTAAAAATCTGTAATGTGTTGGTACAACTAGCTTTATGTATCACTTATTAAACATGTCTTACAGGCTTATGGCTACTCCACTTGTAATCTACAGTAAATATTCTCTCAGTTTGTGTAAATACCAGCCATGTTAAAGCATTTTGGTAAAGTGGAAAAAAACCCAAACCAACCAATAAACCAATAATGCTGTCAATAAACAGAACCCAAACTAAAATTTGGAAATACTGTAACAATCTTTAATTATATATACTAGTCCCATTTCAATAATTATTTGCTAGTGAAACAACATACTAGGGCCAAGAAATAATGCAGTGTCAATAACGTAAAAATGCATGTTCTGTGTTTAGAAAAAAGATAATGAGGGGAAAAAAATGTAAAATGTAAATCTTAACCTATTTGTTTCTATCACTAGGGGGCATCCCATGTGCAGTAATAATAGAAATATCTTTACACAAAGGCTTACAAAACTGTTGAATTATTCAATTCCACTCAGTTTGTTTGCTATTGCTAGCTTTACAATTGCAGAAAGACCTTCCACTGTTCAAATAGACTGGTCGGTGTTGTTTGTTTGTTTTTTCCTCTCTTTTTACCTCACTTCTCCAACATTAAAATGCTTAAAGTGTTGCTACAACAAATTTTACATTATTTGGCATTTTGCTTTTTCCCATGCATTTATATTTACATGCAGACATGATATATTTTTAAAATCATGTCTTCTAGTCCAGTGTCATGGTCACTTTGAATATATGCAGTCAGTACTGTTACTACATGAAAGCACTGTGCTTTTTGTCTGGTTCTTGTGGTCTGATGGTGAATCCCACTGTTTCTTTTCATAGCAATGGTTATACGTGCAGCCTTGTTTCCCTTTGTTCCATATGAGTACAGTGGTGATGTGGTCACAATATTCTTGGTTCTGCTTTCCCTGGAAATGAGTAAATAAATGAAACTTGGCTAATGTGTTACCTGCTTCTCTTTTATCAATTTGAATTGGGGGTGGGAGGGAGACGTGGTGGTTCTTTGTCCCAACTCCAATCTCTACACAAATACGAAGAATTCGATTTTTCTTCATCTTTGAAGTTCATAGGATTACAGAATGGTTTGGGTTGGAAGGGACCTTAAAGCTTATCCAGTTCCAACCCCCAGCCGTGGGCAGGGACACCTTCCACTAGACCAGGTTGCTCAAAGCCCTGTCCAAGCTGGCCTTGAACAATTCCAGGGGTGGGGCATCCACAGCTTCTCTGGGCAACCGGTTCCAGTGTCTCACCAGTCTCACAGTAAAGAACTTCTAGGATCTAATCTGTTTACTCTGTTTCAATTTAAAGCCATTCCCCCTTGTCCTGTTACTACATGCCCTTCTAAAAAGTCCCTCTCCAGATTTCTAGTAGGTCTTCTTTATGTACTGGAAGGTTGCTCTAAGGTCTCTTCAGAGCCTTCTGTTCTCCAGCCTGAACAGCCCCAGCTCTCTCAGCTTTTCTAGCTTTTATTGCATGTTCCTTTTTCAGATAAGTGGAGAACTTGGTGCTAGCCCAGTGACAGAGACGAATTTGTTAGTGTTCAAACTTTTACTGTTCTGTGATGACCTGATTGCTGTAGCAGGTGGATGTAGTTGATGCTTGTTCTGTTCAACCCTTAGAAATTCTTAGATCTTGGCTCAGGCTGGATTGCTATGTAATACATGTAGCTCTCTCTAGCCTGGCTACCTTTGTGGCTGTGAATTAGTGCTCTGTTGAGGAAGAAGAAAAATAACAAGTATAAAATTTGTTAAGTTCTGTTGAACTTCTTGAAACCTTCTCAAAACTGGGAAAGAGGGAGAAAAGGATCAGCCTTGGAGATAAATTAAGTAGTGTTGGTTGCCACATTGTCTGCTTTTGCATTCTTATAGTAGGAAACTTTTCTCTCTTTAAGTGGTAGAAAGGGAATTATTTAAGTATTTTAATTAACTACAGCATTCAAGTAAATCTCAAGGTTGTAGGAACTGTAGAAATACTATTGACAGTTGAATGCAGAGCAGATGAATGTAGGAATATATGAAATACTAGTTTTACTAATCAATAGAGATACTTCTTGTATGAGACACATTGATGGAGGATTTTTTGTGAAATTCTACTGTAATTATGCTGTAATTTGAAACTTGAATTTTCTGTTATCTTGATTTTTTTTCCATAGGTGCATGTGAAGGAACACTAGCCTGCTCAACTTGTCATTTAATCTTTGAAGACCACATATTTGAGAAACTAGATGCAATTACTGATGAAGAGATGGACATGCTGGACCTGGCATATGGCCTCACAGAAACGTAAGGGAACATAACACTTTACTGTATGAAAAATGAAAAGCAGGGTTTGCAGGTGGGGCAGTCCAGTATTCTTAGAATGCCTTAATCATCTTTTAATAAATAGGTAGATTCTGTTACACAAATGGGACTGCCAAGTTCAAATACTGCTTAGCTGAATTCATATTAAAAAGATGTCAGTATTGGTTTTGTAACTGAAGAGTGGCAGTTGCCAGTACTTGCTCTTCTGAGGTGTCTGATGCAGAAGTGTCAGATACTGAAGTATGACCAAAAACCCAGTTCCTTCAACAAAAACTTGGCTGCTGATGTCGAGTGTGTGATTTCTCTTGTTCTTCTTTCCCTTCCCTTCTGTTTTCTGTCTCCATTAGTCTGTAGCTAGTTTATGTATTTTATAAATGTGTTTACTTTAGTATTTTAGTTTTGGTCAGATCTTCTTTCCACAGAATCACAGAAGGGTTGAGGTTGGAGGGGACCTCTTGAGGTCATCTGGGCCAACCCCCTGCTCAAGCAGGGCCACCTTGAGCCGATACCCAGGACCATGTCCAGACAGCTTTTGAATATCTCCAAGGATGGAGACTCCACAACCTCTCTGGTATTTATGTACATTGATAAGATCCTTCCCCCAAGCCTTCTCTAGGATAAATGGTGTCCCACGTGGCAGTATTGCCACTTGTCATGCTTTGACTCATGTCAGAGTGCTCTTGGTGCACACAAGCCAGATTCCCTTTTGGGTAAAACTAAAGCATTCTCGTAACTGCTAATGCAGCGTTGCAGATTGGACTAGTGATTGTCTAAAGTAAGCCTTTGTTGTATATCTCCCCCACCATCTTACACCTTGTTTTATGGTGTCACATCCTCATCCATTCCTCGTGGGTTGCACTACTTGTACATGTAGTCTGTATCCGAGAACATACCCACATGAAGAATAAGTAGCTATGCCTTACAAGGTTTCATAAGCCCTTTCCTTCATGTTTCAATGGAATTGCTTATCAAAGTTTTTGGGAATCTTTCCTATGATGTCAGAGGGCCTTATACCTGGCCTGTATAGCGTAGGTTTTTTTATGTCTCTGCAAAGCAGTTCTCTGAATTAACTTGTTTATCTCCTTATACCAGTAATAGAATCCTGTATTAGTTGTTTCTACACAACAGTACGCTTTTTCTCACTTCAGCCAAATCTTAACTTTTCTGTGAGGCTGTAAAGGCAGAGAAGTTAAGCTATGAAAAACTGTTTCAGCTTCTTTTGTTTTATCCTTTTTCCTGTCTCCCAAAAAACATTTTCCAATTTTGAAAATAATAGTAGGTCTATTAAGTGTGAATTTACGTTACTCTTACTATCTGCTATAATTCTGCTCAGAGTAACTTTTAGATTCTGTGCCAAACCAACTTGTAAATAGCTCTGGAGGCCAGCAGTCTAATTAAAAACTTTTTTATTTGGCTATCGTTAATTAAAAATATTTAAACCAAGGAGTTTTTACTGAAGAACTGAAACAGTAGAAAGACAGAGCTCTCTGATTAAATACTTAGGTTTTTCTCTCAAAGTTCTTCAGACCAAATTAAGTTTTTAGACCTTCTGAAGACACGTGTTACTTCTGTCAAATTTTCCTAACATAATGTGTTCTTTCTGTGGCCAAGGATCTTCCGTATGTGTGAAAAGCTCAGGAAGATGGAGCTTTAAGTGACTGGTACTTGCTATAGGTTACCTGGTCTCCTGTGCTGATACAAACTTGTGTAATGCAGATGCACTACTGTGCTCTGTCATAAGTATAATGATAAAAGTTTTTTCTTGCCAGTGACTGTATTTGGGAAAGTTTCAGCTAGCAGCTGCCATGAAAGCTCATGGGTTTTAAAACAAGGGACTAATTAGAAAGGTTAAAAGGAAACGGTTTTGAATAACTGCAGAATGGTAGAGATATTAAAGAGTGAGGGGATGCAAACCCTGGTAAGTTAAATGTTTCGAAATAATACTGAACTGAAAAATAAGCTGAGAAACAGCTTACTAAAAAGTAGAAAACCAATTTTGTTCCTAACCTATCAGAAGAAAGAATCTTATCTGCATGAAGAGCCAATGGGTGATGCAGAAGGTACACTTAAAATTATAAAAAGATGATAATGTAAAGGCAAAGTTTCTTTTGCATTGTTGTCTCTAGAGATGTTACAGGATGTCAGTGCACTGGAAGATTTCTTTGCAGAGGGCTTCCTGGAGTGTTACAGAAAATAAGTAAAATGAGTAATAACAGATGGTAATGAGTAGGTAGCATTCACCCAGGAGTTCTACAGAAGTTCATGATGACATTTCTGAACTTCTGTCTGAAAGGCTTAATTAGCTTTTTAATTTATTTTTTTTTTAAACCAAAATTGCTCCCACATCAAAGGAATGGAAGGTAGCAACCCAACTTTTAAAACAAGATTATCGGAACTGGAGATCAGTGAGTTTGATTCCATACTGGATATGTTAATCATGTGCCTGTGGACTGCTGCTTCTTTATAGTTTCTAGTACATGATTGTAAAGAAAGAATTCAACAAAGCTTTTGTAGAGGGATGTAACAGGTATGGGAGTTCAGATGAGTCACTGAGTGTGAAAAAAGATCTTAGAGTTCATGTAGTTTACTTAGGTTCAGAAATTCTTTACTAAGTTTGAATTGAAATGGGATAAGAGCAAAGGCCCAATAAAGGATAAGAAATCGGTTAATAAATAAAGATTTCATTTAACAAGGTAAGAACATGTGATCTAAAAGTGATTGGTGCTAGGTTTTATGTAGTGAGTGTTTTTTGTGAGACTTGGGAAAAAAGAATGAAGAGTAAGGTTCGTGTATAGTGCTGTGTTACTTAGTGTGGTAAAATCAAAAACTGTCAGTGAAGACATGCACAAGGATCTTGTGCCATTGAGTGATAGGAAACAAAGTTTGGTGTTAAAAGGTGCAAATAAATGCATATGGAGAGGTGGGTAGAACAGTGGTAACCTTGCAGATTTGAAATAGGCTGCCAGCTAGCTATCATCTTCCAGGAATGTCAGCCTAAGAATTGGTGTTAAAACACCAAAAAAAACGCCAAAACATCAAAAAGGTGAATAGGTATTGGCAATAGTAGGTAGGAACAGGTAGAAAACCAGAAAATGACGATTACATGACAATATGGGAATTCACCATATCTTTTTTACTTGTGTAACTCCTGACTTCCTTTTATTTTTTTTTATTTTTTTTTTTTTTTTAAAGTAGTAGATGAGAGTAGATAAAGGTGGGGAATGATTTGCATGCAGGTATTGACTGAATCATCTTTTGGGGAGTCCAAGCTTCAGCTTTAAGGAGTGGAGGAATCTGGTTAAATATCTATAAAATCGTAAATGCTGTGGAAGAATTTGAGTAACAGAAGGTAGGTTGTTTCTCACAGTGTTATTTAGTGCTGCCTAGGTTTTTTTGTACTGCTGTGTAACAGGCTCAAAACCTTCATCTGAAGTGAATCCATTGCAACACTACAGAGTACATATGCAGTTAGTGCTGGTCTTCAGTGAAAACAGACCACTAAAATTCAGCCTTGCTAACAATGCTACATAGAAGTATCAGAAATTGCATATCTAATAGATGTCGTTTCTAACCCTACTCTTATGGATGCATATTCAGGAGATTAAATCTTCTGGTAATGTATGTATTTATACACGCATTCCAGTAATTTGAAGTTGATGGATGGAGTCATTTACATAGAAGTATTACGTTTGGGTATAGGACTGAATCTGGAGCTTTAACAGCAGCTGATCACTACATGCTTGAAAGGGTTCTATATGGATACTAACGTAGTATGATCTTTTATAGTATCTCTGCCTACATTCCTACATTCCAACTGATTCACTTGGTGCTACAGAACATTGCCCATCCTTGCTGATGTTTACGTGTTCTATACTTAAGTACCAAAGCATGGATATTACTACATTAAAGATATCCCAGCAGTAAAAGTAGCTTGTGATGTCTGCAGAATTTTCTTGTGGTGTTATGTTTTTTGCTTTTAATTGCTCAAGTACAACATTTTTTCATGCTGAATGGTAGGTAGAAAAAATGAAGGATTGCACCTCCTCAGGTGCCATGAGCATTTTATCCTTCTCCTTCCTATGTTTCTTGTCTTTTCACTCTTACTTTCTGGCATAATGAACCAATCTTGAGTTGTTTAATTTGAAAACATTGGACCCTAGATGAGTTAGGCTATGCTTTTTCTGAGGCTTTCATTCTGATTCATTGCCTTCATATCTTCAGAGATGCCAAATGTCCCTTGGGACATCACGTGTCATTCCCTGCACTTGACTGAGCTGTTAGTGACCCACTGAAAATGGAAGGGTCACCCTTACTGTATGTTGCCTCAGGAAGTAGGAAGTACTTGCGTACCACTTTCCCTTTCCAGTGTACTGAACTTTGCTACTTAATGTAAATCATTATTATTACCACATGTATCTTCACCTTGATGCATGCAGTTCACTACTGGTCTTAATTAACGCTGTGCACAAGAGTGGTTGGCTGTAGATCATAATTTGTTTGGTATGGCTGAATGTTGGAGGCATAGGGGGGTAAATGCTATTAGATATGTGATTAGGTAGAACTAATGCCAACGTCCTATTTCCCTAAGCTGCCAAATCTGCCTGAAGAAATCCATGGATGGTATGACTGTTCGAGTACCAGAAGCCGTTGCGGATGCTAGACAATCAGTAGATATGAGTAAAAACTCCTAAAAGGAAGTAACTTAGGGGGTTTAAAGAAGCTTAATTATTTTTATAACTTATTTTTAAATGTGTAATTAAATACGGAAACTTACATAATTGTGAGTTATTTTATATGACTATCAATATTAGATGAATGCTATTTTAATTTTCTTTATAGAACCTCTTATATTTTTACGCTTAAAATGCAATAATACTTCTTATAAGTGATCATTGGATTAAACGTTAGCAAGTGTATTACAGGTTTCATGTAACATGATTCTGCCAAAACCTTTAATGACGTTTGCAAGCCGGATCACTTCTACAAGACTTCTAAAAACCCCTGGGCATTTCTAGGTCTCAGACCTAGATATGTAAGAGAACAAAACTTGTAAGACTGCATGGAGTCTTTTTAAAGTGTTGTCATTAAAGATGGTGTACTCAGAGCTAATTCATGTTCTCGGTAAATATTACCCTTCCTCAGCAAATAGTGGCTTTTCAGGGTAGGGATTTTCCAAACTTTTTGTCTTGGCAAAAATACTGTTAAAACCATGAAATCTAGGGGCCTATACAGAATGTTGGCACCTGCAGCTTAATTGCTGCAGTGCATCTCTGTGGCCTGAAACAGATATCAGTAAATCTCAACTGTATTGTGTTTGACTACACCACAGATATGGGGATACACAGGGCTTAGAAGAGTAAAGTGTTGGAGCTGTCTAATGGGAGTGCATAACCACTGGAGGTAACTGTACATTCTTGCTGTTCTTGAAGATAGTTGAGTTGGGATTTGAAGAGGGCAGTGTTTGTCAACAGAAGATTTGTTGAGTTCTTTATCCCTTTTTCAGTTTTGAGTTTGGTCAGGAGGCAGCGTGTTGTTAGCTAGGGCATTCAGCTTAAAGAGGTTCCTAGCTTCTGGGCCTTGCTCTCAAGATCATTTCCACAATGGTTGACATGGAACGACCAAGTATATTTATTCCATAAAGGTGGACTAGGTTCCCCAGAAGGCCTAGGGAAACCCCCATGCTGAGATTGCCTGTGGACCAATGATGAAGAGCTTTCAGTTGGTTCTAGTTTTAGTAGAACAAAATAAAATAATGTCTCTAAGACTCTTCATTATTCTCTCAAGTTTTTGTTGCCTAAATAATTAAATGAAATGATTGTCACCAGTACAATAGTTAGTTTACGCTTATAAGGTTATTTTAAATTTTTTGGGCATATTTATATATGTATATATAAAATTTGTTTATTTACATTTGAATGATCTAATGCATTCATTAATGCCTTATTTGAAGTGGTGACAATGACATCTAGGCATCTTTTCTTGTATTGTTATATTTGAGAGATGAAAAATACTTTCCCAGTGTCAAATATTGAAATTACTTTGAGCTTTATGAAGAAGAAAAAAAAAAAGACCCTCTTTGTTATAAAAAGAAATATTTTCTAGAACTGTACTGAAAATAGATCTGGTTCAGATTCTTTAATTTTCTCTCTAAGTAGCTATTTGTTTCCTGGTGTTCCCTTTGGACTTCCCCTTAAACAAGATAGGTTTAATGTATTCTGCTCAGAACTCAATCATATATGCTTTTCAGAATAAACTTCCTCTCATCTTATTCAAACTGTGACTTCAGAATTTAAATCTCCTGGCTTTTGAAAGACATGGGAAGGTTGGGAAGAAGGAGGGAACTAAGATGAAGAAATGTTCTGAAGATAACTGCTGTCTTCATCTTCTGTGGCTCTAACTGTAATTTAGAGATTACCCTCCCACAATCAGGCTCAAAGGTACATAAGTTCTCCTTTGTGTTGCCTTTGTCCCGAGTTCATTTATATACCTTTATTAAATCTTGAACTCTTTGGTTCTTTTACATGAGACAGCTCCTTAGCTTCCAAGAGAGGGAACGTAACTTGGGTCATAACCAGATGTACTGTGCATTCTTGCATCGGAAAGAAATCTGAGGTTTCTGTATAGTTATGGGGTTTAGGGGTAGATGTTGGTGTTGGGTTTTGGGGTTTTTGGGGTTTTGCTTTGGGTTGGTTTCTTGGGTTTTTTGTTTGTCATTTATGCACAGCACAAGGCACTTCGCCTTGTGGGAATCCTGAAGCATTCGATGCTGTGTTAAACAAATGTGGAACAGCTCTCGTGACGGTTTCCTTTCTAAGCCAAGGTTGTGTCATTGTGCGTTTCCTGTGACAGCTTCTCATTACAAAGACTTTGACTCTCCTGTAGTGTGCCTGTGGAGGAATTACTTCGCACAGCAAAGCAAAAAAGGACACTTAAAAGTTCATTTTGAATTCTAGAGGTAGCCCATATTGCATGCACGTGGAAATCTCAGAAGGCAAGGGAACTGACATGTAATCCCCAAAATGCACAGTTCAGAGATACTTGTTTCCTTATTGTCAAAATGATTTGCAAATAAATCTTATTTTTGGCCACTTTCTGACACATCTTGTTTGTATTGATTTTTCTTTCCTTTTCCTCTAAGCTATTGAATGTATTTCTGGGTGTAAAATGGAACTCAACGGTTAATGATGCACATTCAAGTGTAAGTATGAATTATTGTGCAATGGCACACAACTAAAACATCAAAACTAGTTAAAGATATATTTGCTTCCTTGTCCAAATAAAGTTTACAGGTAACTCCCTTTCTATAAATGTTTCCTTTCTCTGGTAAAACAAGGAGTCAACGGGTCTCTTCTGTCTTTTTCCCCCTCAAAAATGAGGAGAAAATCAGAACTGACTTTGTTCCCTTTACTTCTGAACTTAAGTTTACAAAATGTGCTTGCGGTCTAGGGCAGAAACAGACCTTTAATTCACAAGCATTGGTGGGGTCCTTCTGATTCCTGGTTTTGTGAGGCAGCCAGGCCAAAACCCTTCTCTGGCAGAAGGAAAGGTCTCATCCTCCCCTCTTCCTTTCTGAGGGTGTGGGGGAACTTGTCTGTGGCTCTAGGTCAAGTTCCTTCACCTCGTGAAACCCCAGTCAGGTCTGGGGTCCTGCTGTCTTCTGTTGTCGGCAAGGACACTGACCACAGGAGCCAGCAGTCCCCATTTATGTGACACTGTTTGTGATGTCTAAAGGGGAAAGAGGAGGGACCTTGCACTCCCACATTGCTATGTCTCTTTCTGTCAGGGGAAGTGTCCATCATCTATGGTGCAAGCTCTCACTAGGGAGAGAAGGGAGTTCTCCAGGCAGTTTAGAGTCATAGAATGGTTTGGGTTGGAAAGGACCTTAAGATCATCTAGTTCCAACCCCCCTGCCATGAGCAGGGACACCACACACTAAGCTCTGTTGCCCAAGGCTCTGTCCAGACTGGCCTTGAACACTGTCAGGGTTGGAGTATTCACAACTTCTTGGAAAGAACTTCTTCCTTATATCTAATCTAGAAGTCTCCTGTTTAAGTTTGAAGCCATTACCCCTTGTCCTACCACTACAGTCCCTAATGAAGTGTCCCTCCCCCACATCCTTATAGGCCCCCTTCAGATACTGGAAGGCTGCTATGAGGTCTCCACGCAGCCTTCTCCAGGCTGAACAGCCCCAACTTTCTCAGCCCGTCTTCATACGGGAGGTGCTCCAGACACCTTACCATCCTCATGGCCCTCTGGACTTGTTCCAGCAGCTCCATGTCCTTTTTATGTTGAGGACACCAGAACTGCACACAATACTTCAAGTGAGGTCTTACAAGAGCAAAAAGTTTGTTACTTCTTGGACAGAAAAACTCCTGTGTCTGAAGTTCACCATTTTTGGCTACAGGGCTGCAGAGGATTTAAGGGAGCTGTGTTCAAATTTCATGTCCCAGTTAGAGGCAAGTTGAACAGACCATGTGCAAAAAAGCTGCAGTGGAAGTGGCAGTGCATCACCAGCTCATGAGTCTGGGCTGGGGCACATAGACAATTTGCTATGGTCTGACTGTGTTTTGTTCTGACAGAGGCTGATGTGGTATGCAATGATTGGGTAGACTACAACCCAACAAACTCCTCATTCCTTGGGAGGAAAAAGGAGAGAGAAATCTTACCAGAGGAGAAGAGATGCTCGAGCTCAGTCACCGAGGTATCAAATAGTACAAAACGTTGGGAAGGGGCTGCTGGTGATTTCTCTGCAAATGAGCTGAAAAGATGTGGAAGGGAATAGGGATTTCCTGCATCCTCGCAGAAGCTGTTGCCTCTCAGGGTGGCTGTGTAGATGTGTGCGCTATAGTGCCTCTGTGCTCCTTCTCTCCCTGTTACCCTGCCAGGAGAGCAGCAAGAAGTGTTTTCCATACGTAAAACAACCAGAGTAACCCTGAGATTTACTTTCTAACCTACTGCCCTCCACTTCCTTTTTATGAAGTTAAACATTTCGTGATGTGAACCAGTCCAAATTAAAAAATGATCGGTAAGTATTTTCTGGCCAGCAGTGATACAGCGTTTGCAACCAGGGCAAACTTCCACCTAAACCTGTGGCCTCACTGTGCTCAGAGAAATATCTCTGGCATCCCCTTCCACGGCTCTGGGAGCTCTCTTGACCTCAGCCCAGCAGCAGAAACGTTATTTTGAGCACTAACACTGCTTGTCCACTTCCACCAACTGGTGTTATTTTTGTCTGCCCGGCATAATCCTGCTTTTTCCTAAACCTTTCGAGCACCTTCTTCCCCGAACAGGCACTAGGGTGCATCTCTCGCGTCTGCTAGAGATGAGAAAGAATAAAAAGGGTTTTGAACAAGCTTGGTATAACCTTCCTTATGTCCACTCAGGTGCTGCGAAGCTTTCGCCTTCCCATTTCTGTCTCTTTGGAGCATGTCTATGCTAGAGCACAGGCTACGGTGTGAAATTCCCTCCGCTGTGCTGACCCCAGGTGGTACATCCCTGCAGCACAGCGCTGGTAGGGGTGAAATTTGGGAATGGGAACAGCACAGCGCGTTCGAGCAGCCGTGCATGAGAGCCCAGCTCTGCTACAGCCCTCGGGTGGAGCTGGTGACTGTGGGACCGCTGTGAAAGAGACGTAGGTCCAGTGCACAAGAGCTATTGCTGCATCAAGGCAGGCTGCCACGGCTCCGCGTAT